GACAGGTGTGCGTGTGTATACTAGTTGCGTGTGTGTGTGTGTACTTTCATCGCGTTCTTCGTTTGATCACACTCCACCTTCACACTATGACAAACCAAGCTCCCAACCGCACACAGCCACACAAACGCACCCCCTCACTCGCACCCTCACTCGCGCCCTCACATTTACACGCACGCAGATGCTGATCAAGCTCCGCGAGTGATCAGTCGTTCATTCAAACTGTGGATCAACCATTGTCCAAGACTGCTTCGGCTTGTCCCCGCTTCGATCACCAACCGCAGCCACCCACCCCAAGAGCAGCTAAACATTCTGCGTCGCCGTTTGTCCACCTCGTGGCTCGCACCTTGCATCCACCACGTCCAACACGACGCAAGACGCGAAGGCGCTTTCCCCTTTTCTTCCTTTTCCTTCGCCTCCCAACCCGCCAACTCCGTGAGTCAGCCAGAAGCCATTGGCTGCGAGCAACCTGGCAGCGCGCACTGAGGTCATTTTCTCATGCACTGGAGTGAGACATCGCTGTGGCTGTCTTCTTCCTGCGTTTCCCTCCTTCCTCTGCGCCCTTCCCTTTCACGCCTCTTGACTTGTAAGCGCGTGACGGTGACTGTGAGTGGTACTCGAGTGGTGGCGCAGTGATCCTCACCTCCACATGTGTGTGATCGACACAAAGACGCGCCATGCCTGGCGCTTCCTCCCTTCACACGTTTCTTCTCCCTACACATGTTCTTCTCTCCCTTGCTTTGTCCCTGTCTAACCCCCCACCTCGCCCGATCATTCCACATCGCCGTTGCTGCATCCCAACTTTGTGCTCATTCACACCTTCCACCAACCCCACCTTCTTCTTCCTTCTCCCGCTCTCCTCTCAGGACGGTCACCCCACGACGTCAGAAGTACACCAAAAAGCACCAAGCACCGCCAATCCACGGATTTGTCCTTCTCTTTGAAAAGAGGGATATTCATTCCTCCTCATCCTCATCAGGTAAGCATTGCACCACCGCTTCCTTTCCCTTTCCCGTACAAGCACCACAGTCATTGTCACCCATGGGCCACCTCCCTTCGCCCCTACAACCATTTCAAACGGCAACGACGTCCTTCTTTCGTTTTGACAATTTTGACTGGACTTGTCTGTTGCGTGCCTTCGTGGAAACCGTGTCCCCCAACCTCATATGGGCCTGTCTGTGCAAATGCACCTCTCTGCACCAAAGCCAGACAACACAACATAACAACCACGCCCGCGCTTTTCAGCCGTGCTCATCAACACTCAACTCACCTGTATGTCTCCCTTCAATGTTGAATTCCTTGTTGATGGACGCACTCGTAGGCACACGCAGACTCGTGATCAGCCGATCAACCAAAACCGAAAGGCACGTCGCCCAAAACAACCGTTCTCTCATCAGCATCCGCGTATCGTCATTCCCTCTCATCCGACAAGACCCCCGTCACTTTGACTCTTCGACCTTCAGCCCAATTCCAAGCCGTTAATCGCCAACAACAACAGCAGCAGCAGCAGTAGCAGCAAAGGCATTAGCGCTCTGCTGATCAGCCAATCACTTCAGTCCGAAGATGGACGGCCAGCAGCAGCCGGCACCGGCGCAACACGGTGCCCCTGACGCAGCCCTGCTCTCCCAGCTGCTCAGCCAACTCAACTCCACCGCATTCCCGCCAAGCAGCGCCGCAATGAACGGACAAGCACAGGACGTCGTGCTTCTGCAATACCTTCAGGCCCTGGTGAACCAAGCCCAGCAGCAGCAGCAGCAACAACAACAACAACAACAACAACAACAACAACAACAACAACAACAGCAGCAACAGCAACAACAACAACAACAGCCGCAGCCGCAGCCGCAGCCGTCGCAAGCGCATCAAGCCCAAGACCAGCACGGTCACGGTTTTCGGGTACAAGCACACGACCCCTCCTTGCAGAGCCAATTTGCGCAGTCAGGCGTGCCAGCAAATCAGAGCGATCATGCTCAGCTTCATCACCACCATCCCACGCATAGAACGCAGCCCACACCAGGACCCTTTGCAGATGCGGCACTGGCCCCGCAATCCACAGCGGCAATGGCCCAACATGCTGGTCTGCAACCGCAGCAGCATCAACATCAACAACCACAACATCAACAATGCGCAAGGTGGCCGTCCTCATCACCGCCCCACTCACTCCCATCAAGCGTGTCGACGCAAGCTGGCCCGGCACAGTTGCTGGACTTTGGCACTTTCGGCTCGCAGCAGCCACAGCCACAACAACAGCAGCAGCAACAACAGCAGCAGCAGCAGCAGCATTTGGACAGACACGCCAATCCCTTTGCCCTCCCTTTGTTGACGTCATCAGGGCCGTCGACAAAAGCGCCATCGCCGCCATCAACGCTGTTTCCGCTGACAGCAAACGTGCGTGATCTGGCAGATGCGCAGCGACAGGACGACGACCATCTTCGCTTTCTGCAACAGATGGCCATGACCAGCCCATCGCCCATGAACCAATTCAGCCACCACCATCAGCCACAACAGCAGCAGCAACAAGCGCAACCCCCGCAACCCCAGCCTGTCACGGGCCACGCAAACTTCATGCACATGCAGCCGACCACACTCTTTGGCGGCCCCAGCGATGCTGGATGTGTGGCACAGCATCCGCTGCCAATGCCGCTCCCGATTCCCCTCGTCACCACGACGCCGGCCGCTCTCGTGTCGACCGTCGGGCACGTGCCCACGCTCATGCCCTCGATGCCGTTTGCCACAGGCTACTCCCACCACCACCACCACCAAACGTCGTTCTCGCCTGCAGGAGGCCTGGATGCGCAGCACGGCGGCCACCGACGTGGAAATGGCCGACACGGCCGGCGGCCCCGAGGGGAGCCATCGGCTGAAGCGCACATCCGCCAAGTCTGCGAGGGTTGCGGAAGCGTCAACTACGTCACCAGGTATGCTAACATGCATAGTGTTGGCGTGGCGTGTGCTGTGTGGACAAGGCTTGCCACAGAGAGAGAGAGAGATAGAGAGAGAGAGAGAGCAAACAACAGACACACAGCTGACGATACCTTTTTCGTTTCGCTCAGATCTCATTCGTCACTTGCGATTTTTTTCCAACAGGGCTCCACCAAAAGACAGGAAAATCATTTGCAAGCAATGCCGAAAGTCAGTAGTCTGTGTGTGTGTGTGTGTGTGTGTGTGTGTGTGTGTGTGTGAGTTATCTGTGGTTGGTTGTATGATGGCTGGTGGGCGAGTCTGCTGAAGCTTTGATCCACCGTGTGTGTGTTCTGCATTTGGGTGGTTTGCCTCCCTTTTCGACTTTTCGTTTCGCCCACTTGCTCACTCATCACCACCACCACCACCCTCTCCTCTCTGTCACTTTCGTCGTGCTGTCTTGCTGCGTGAGCAGCAGCCTGCGCCCACGGGTGCAGCGCGTCTTCAAGAACATCAAGGCGCATGAATTCGCCGACTTCACCGTCAAGGACCTTGTGAAAGGTACGCCGTCGCTTGTGCTGCACTGCGACCGAGACATGTCCGACAGAGGGAGGGGAGGATGAGAGACAGACAGATACACAGACAGACAGACAGACAGACAGACAGACAGACAGACAGACAGACAGACAGACAGACAGACAGACAGACAGACAGACAGACATATTTGTAGAGTGAAACACGTTTGCATGTCTCGAAACGCGTCATGGCTTTCCCTGCTCTGCTCCTCTCACTGTGTTCCCGTGTCCACCTTTCTGTTAATCCATCTGCGTGTTTCACATTCCCATCCATCATCGCCCGCAACCACACATGCGCCCATACACGCAACTCCCTCACCCGCGTGCACACTCTGACCCTGGCTCGCACCCTGACTCTGACGTGCGTTTTGCGTTTTTGTGTTCCAACAGCCATCACGGCCATGGCTGCCCCCTGCCCAACAGGCTTCAAGTGCCCCGTTGACATTTTCCAGAACCAAAAGTGTAGGTTGTCATGAAGCATAGATGCCCGCTCCCTTGCTCAAACCACCAATGCGATCGGATTGCTCTGCTGTACCTTGATCATGGCGCCAAGCAAGTCCCTTTCATTCCTTTGTTTCGTCAGAGCTGTTGTCTGTCACTGCGCGCACGGATGTATACATGTGTGCGATTCCTTCGTTTTGCTATGCCAAAAGAACCACACGAACTGCACCAACACTCACTCGTTCATCCCTCTCCGTCATCTGTGTGTGCTCTGCATGCTCTGCATGTGTTTGCCTCTCCTTCAGCCCGCTGCGTCACCTGCCACGCCCTCCATTTCACCCGCGTCTTCCCCGACGAGACCGCTTCACGTGAGTGCTCACTTGTGTATGTGTGCGTGTGTGTGCGCGCGCGCAAGTGGGCGTGTGGTGGCTGTCTGGGCAAGCGCACATACGGGTGAATATGCAGGTGTGCATTTCTCGAACTGTTGTTCTCTGTGTGTTGTGCCATCACGAGCTCAGGTTTGGGCGCGGCTACCATCCCTTGTTCATGTCATCGACGGTTGCTCTCACGTCACCGTCACAGCACTTTAATCAATCAACACTTACCCATCAATCAAACTAACCCCACGACAAAACTCGCTGTTCCATCTAGTGCTGCGGGTGTTCAAGAAGCGCATTTGTCGCTCCGTGGGGTGCCAGACAAACGGCCGACCGGAAAACGCTGTCGTGCGCGTGACCGATTTGTTCAAGAAGGACTCCAAACGCCGCCCAACATGCTTTGAGGTCGGCACCAGCACACCGGAAGAATGGGCCGATCTGCCTGCCCTCAGGGGAGGCGGCCGTGTGCAAGGCGGACAAGACGACAGCAGTGCACGCCCGTTGCCGCCAGCGCCGCTCTCGCCCACACCATCCTCGATGGAGCGCATGCTGTTTCCCTTCTCTGCGCAGGACGGCGACGGGCCCATGGATGACATTGTTGATGACGACGACTTTGCTGTTGACGACTTTGGTGGCGGTGGCGGCCGCGTCGATGTTGGTGATGACGATGGTGCCAGTGATGATGATGATGATGGTGGTGGTGGTGGTGGTGGTGGTGGTGGCGCTTGTGGTCTGGCTGACGTTGGTGGCCGCCGTGTCACTGCCACCAGTGCTGGAAGTGCCACAACCACAGGTCTCCTTGACCGCGGCATCTGCGACACAGACTCGGACGAGATGCTGGCCGTTCGCCTGCCCGGAGCAGACGCCGCCACGGGCACGAAGGGCACGGCACCGCGCTTCTCGCGTGCGGACGGATCTCGCTTGTCCGTGTCACCGCCACAGCGGCGATCTAGCGACACCAACACCAACATACTGCTGGCGGCGGTGCGGGACCTCATCCCCGATGACGATGACGATGACGATGACGATGCCGGTGTCAATTTCAACAATGGCGACGATGATGGCAGCCGCCGCCGCGGTGACCGTTTCGTCAATGGCGAGCAGGTGGCCAAACGCGCCCGATACGCGAGCAGCGCCGGTGCGAACGTGGACGGCAGCCAAGCCATGGAGAACACGGTATTCAACGGGTACGAGCCACTGCTGCAGACACCAAGCGCGTCCACATCCATGCAGTTTGTCGGGCCTGACGCTGGCGGCGATGACGGCATTGTCGATGGTAAAGATACCGCTGACTTTATGGCGTCTGTCGACGCATCATCCAACCTCTGACGACTTTATGGCGTCTGTCGACGCATCATCCAACCTCTGACGGCGACTCAAGCATGGCTGCTGGGTCGCTGAACGCTGTTGCTGCTTGTTATGTTACACCTTTTTCGCTCCTTCGCTGTTGCTTCGCTGCTGTTACCGTGAGGTGCTTGATTCCTGCATCCGTGTGTTTGGAAAACGAGCCAAAGCATTCCTTGTTCTCTTCTCCCCTTATCTTCTTCATGCAGTGCATTGAATGGCGCGGGGCTGTGTTGTGTTGTGCTTCACATCAACTTTTGTAGTGGGATTTGGTGTCGCTTCTTTTGGTTTTGCTTCTTGTCTTGATTTGCGTTTCGCATTTTGTTGAAGACGGGGCCATGTCCTGGCTGATCATGGATCTATGACGATGCAGACCGGACCGTGATGCCACCGCTCGTTTTCAGCTCATGTCTGCACCCCATTGTCTGACGGGTTTTGGGTTTGCATTCTGAGCACGTGCCCCATGCCCGCCATGCCATGTGCCCCATGCCGAAACGCAATGTCATGCATGGGTCCATCGGATTGTGCTGCCTTCTGCCTTCGCTCTCGCCGCTGCTCTTCGTTTTTCTTTTTTGTTTGTTTTGTTCCATCTCTATTCCCATCCATACGCTGACTTTGGCTTGCCCTTGCTGCCAGCATGTGTTGGTTGGTTGGTGTGCGTGTTTATTTCTATATCTGAAGACCCACGGCGCGCGCCCCACACATGTTATGTTGGCTTGCTCTCTGCCACTGCTGTCGTTTCCTGTGTGTCTTGTGCTGTTTCCCTGTTTCCTTGTGACCTGTTACGCCTACGTCACGGTGCCACAAACCCTTTTCTTCCTCCTCGCGCTCGCTCCCAAGGTGGTGGCTGCGCGGATGCGTCACATGGCACGTCATGCCACGCGTGACGTCACGTGGTTGTGTCATGCATGGTTGGTTGGTTGGTGCTTGGCCACTGTGTTCATTGTGTCTCAACATGTAACACCAACATAAAAACATCATTTTCCACCACCACAACGGTCGGGTGCCTTGCAGAATCGCATACACAACAATCAAGAGCGAGCAACACGAGAGAGAGAGACAGAGAGGGGAGACGCTGGGAAGAGGGTGAGCGATAAGCAAACAAGCAAGAAAACGAATGAATGAACAAACAAAGAGAGGCGCGCACCGATAAGCCTGAGCTGCTATGAGAGGGAGGTGTAGGCAGTCTTGTGGCGAGAGCGGATGAAATAGACAACAATGGCGCACAGGCACAGCGCGCCCACACCGCCAGCAATGGCCAGCGCAAGCGTGTGGTCTTGTTCGTCCTTCTGGAACTGGCAAATATCAAATCGCTCCCCTCGCTTTGGCTGCGGCTGCGTCTGATTCCTGCGAACGTTGAACGGTTGCAGGATTGCGTCCTGAAATTCAACCACCGTCACTCCCTGTGTCACATCTGTGTGTGTGTGTGTGTGTGTGTGTGTGTGTGTGTGTGTGTGTGTGTGTGTGTGTGTGTGTGTGTGTGTGTGTGTGTGTGTGTGTGTGTGTGTGTGTGTGTGTGTGTGTGTGTGTGTGTGTGTGTGTGTGTGTGTGTGTGTGTGTGTGTGGTGACTCAGAGCGGCTCAGGCAAGAAACAAACTTGCGAACTAGCAGGCGGTTTCATCTCATCCCCCATCCTTGAACACACAACACACACGCACGCAAACGCATATACATACACGCAAATACACACGCACACATACGCACGCACGCACGCAAACATACACGCACACGCACACGAACCCCCCCCCCTCCCCAATTCTATGTCTCCGTGTCGTACTTTCAAAGACAGCATTGGCGCGGCAGCGGAGACCATAGCCTGCCGGGGCGACGAACGTGCTGCGCGATGCTGACGGGTAGGACACGGTGATGGCGTGATCGCCCTGCTGCTCGTGGTGGATGACGGCAGCAAGGTCGCTCAGGTACCATTTGCTCACTTTGCCGCTAGCTGTTGGTGGTGGTGGTGGTGGTGGTGGTGAGCGAGGAGAGGTCGGAACGTGCACAGACCAAGTTGCGCAAGTACTTGGAAACGGTAATGCTGCACGCACCAATTGCATGCCACTCCGATACACGCACCCGCCTACACTGCCTCACAGAGACCAAGCAGCCGTGCTCAGCAACACACAATCACGAACACACACAAGCAGACGCACACACGCACTTGTGGTGGCGTTGAATGCCAGGACGACATTGGCTGTTGTGGTGGAGTTGTGCAGAGCAAAGGTCGCTGAGAGCGTGACTTGTGTGCTGGACTCCGACAGGTTGCCGCAGGACGCCATTCTGTGAGCAGTTGCAGTACAGCAGGGTGAGTGGCGTCAGGCGTCAGAAACAGCCTGTGTGTCAGAGACCCATCAACACAGCCGACTACTGCAAGCGAAGGCGATGGATGACGTGCTGTGCTGCGGTGAAACAATGCCATCCTTGGCTGTGCAGACATGACGGGGCTTACGGATGCGGTGTGAAGGTGGCCGATGTGGCGTTGAACTCAGGCAACTGCACAAGCCCAGCTCTCGTCTGTGTGGCACGAAAGCAGTGTGCGTCAAGCACGGCAGCTGATGGCATGAGGGCGTGGTACAGGACAAACGTGTGCGCATTTGGGGGGGGGGCAGGAGAGGTAGGCAGAAGAAGAGGGGGAGGACGAGGAGGAAGAAGAAGAGGGGGAGGACGAGGAGGAACAAGATGACGAGGAACAAGAGGGGGGACGAGAAGGAAGAGGGGGAGAAGGAAGCCATGCCACAAGGCTGAACTCCGGACACATGCCCACCACGCCACGCAATAAACATCGCACGCACACACGCACATACACGCACATACACACACATGCACACACAATGCACACACAATGCACACACATGCACACACATGCACGCACATGCACGCACATGCACACACAATGCACACACAATGCACACACACACACTACGCACCTCGTTGTGGCTGATGGAGGCGGAAAATGCCTTCAAGGAGACGAGGGCGCACACGTCTGATGAGTTGAAGGGCTTGAACATCAGCGTTACGGGCTCGTGGCGGGACGCTACTGCAGCCCCAAAACAAAGCGGAAGCAGCACCAGCAGCGCTGCCACCACTGCGGACGATGACCGCGACGACGACCGCGACAACATCGTGACACCAGAAGGAGAAGTGCAGCCGTCGAGCAGACGATCCGTTGTTGCTTGATTTGAGTGTCTTTGCTTCTTGTGCGTGTGTGTGTGCTCGTGTGTTTTCGTCTTTGCATTTGTGTGGTTGCCTTCTTTTACCACATCCACAGTGGCAAATAACAAATTCCCAACCTAATTTCTTTGGAGAGGCACTTCGATTTCCCAGGATAGGTCAGCCTATCCACACCGATGTGGTCCTGTCTGAAAATCAGGACAAATCGCACATTCTTTTGCCTGTGCTTGATGGCTTGACCCGCACGACGGCGCTTGATTGATGATTTTGATTGACCCCGTGCTTGCGACGGGTGTGGCGTACGTGGGAAAAGTGGTGGAGCGAACACCACGCTTTGGTGCTTTGACGCTTGCTTGTGCTTTGCGTTGCTGCAACCCTCGCTGCTTGCATATGCGTGTGTGTGCGCGCGGGGTGCGTGAATGTTTTGCTGCCGCTGCAAAGTGCCAGGAAAGAGCGGGGGAAAAGCAAGCAACACAGGCAGAGAGACACAGACGAGTGCTGTCGGTGGGGGTCGTTGGCGTGTGCGTTTCCCTTTCGGTTGGGCGCGGATTTTGATAATTTTGCGGCCCTTTCCAAGCACCAGTCAGCCCACCACCACCCAACAACTCTGGTGAGTCAAGCGAGCGAGCGAGTCAGGCCAAGCAATACACGGGCCCAGGCAGAGAAGACAGGCACTGTGTCAGAGGGAGTGAGAGAGGTGCGAGCACTTGACAGAGAGTGAAGGAGAGGTGCAAACGCTTTGCCTGCCTGAGAGATCGGCCATCCACTTCGTGCACACACACACACACACACACACACCATCCAACACAACAATAGCAGTTTGGGCTCTATTTCACCTGCACCAGCACGCGCTTCCGTGCTTGCACGTCAGTTGTTTTGGTTGTTTCAGCACACACATACACACACACACACAGTCACACAGCCACAACCACTGCAGTCGCAAGGCGAGAAGTCACATGCGCACCGCCGTTTTGCTGTCTTGCTTTGCTTGTTTGCCTTTACCTATCCTTCCGCTTGCAGGAACACAAATCACAGCCTCCTCGTCCCGTAAACAACGACGATCAGGCGAAGTGCCAAGCAGACTCTGACACTCGCTCGCTCTCCGTGCAAAGTCAGCAGAAACCACTGTGGTGAGTCGGTGTCAGTGTGTACTGCTGTCGACAGCCTGCACATGTGACCTGTGTGCGCGTGTGTGCG